GATCTCTTCAGAAAAAAGTAGAAGCCTGTAGTCTAGATGTAGCCATAGATTTAACACGTGATTTTGGTTGTGCCTATATAGCTGGGAGCAAGCCATGTTTAACTTTCTTACCAAACTATGCTACAACCCAGCAATAACTGAATTAAGTGAGCAGTGGGCACCCTAATACAGTAATTTTTTAGTGTAGAGGGGGTCTTTGATCTACTGCCAAGTCATCCTATTTGTGGTAAAGCCAATAATCAAGTCTGAAGGAGAGCTGGGAGAGCATTTCAAGGATTTTGTCCTTGTCAGATAGGTAGAGGCAATCACAAAACATAATGCAAGCAGTTTGAATGGGAAATAAGCAATATCATGGATAGACACAACAGGGTCTGTGAAAGTCTATAGGGAGGACTTCCACCCTGATGGAAGAGATTATGCAGTCATCAGGATGGGCTATTCAAGTAGGAATCTATGAAGTAAGACTAAAACTCAGGACATCTGTAGTAACCCTTTAAGCATTCTGTAAAATGTATATTTGTGCTAACTATTTGATTATTTTAATAAAACAGCTAATTTTAAAAATGTTTAGGGAGAATCTAGAACTAAAAAAATCGGCAAACCTGAGTCAAGAAGATAATGGATTATTTTATTATATATTAAAAGGGTAAAAGCAATAACTGAAATAAGAAATTCATTATTCTGCCTATTCAATGACAGTGCACCGGGCAGTTTTATTTGGGGATGAGGCTAAAAAAACCCTAGAAAACTGTTATTGTTTGACATGCAAGGGATTATTTTCCTTGAAGTTCTAACAAGCAGATGCATAATGTACATTAGAGATTGAGATTTCATTGGCTATAAGGATGGAGGGCCAGGATTACTAGGTCACTGTTAACAAAAGTTTCACCAGAATTGCACCTGTTGTCATATGAGGAAAATGCCAGACGTGTGTGTGTGTGTGTATGTGAGTGAGATACACGGAAGGCATTTTTTTCAGTACCACATGGAGGAATAAACTTGAGTCAAGAATTCCTGAATTCTGCTTCTGTCTTTGCTACTGCCTTGCCTGTGAGGTAGGGATAAGAATTATTTGTACACCTCACTGGAAGTAGGGGAATAAGGATTAGTGTCTGTGTAGTGCTACCTGTATTAAGAGAATAAACTATATGATTAGTAATAGTGTTGCAAATGTATGGTATTCTAAGAATGAACATTTCTCTCTGCTGTACACTATAGCTATTCAAACAATGCTGGTGGAGTATAAAATTCAGCACTTTGAGAGCGAGATCAATCATGTAGCTAGTATCCACCACAGCTCATACAGATTACAGTTCATCAGGCTTTGTGAATTCATCCAGTAGAGGGCAATGTTACCACTTTAGAGCATGAATTACAAACATAGCGATACCTTTTTATTGGACCAATGTCTGTTGGGGGCGGGCGGAGAGAAGCTTTTGAAATGAGAGATTACTTTACCATTCTTGTCTCTCTTATATCCCGGGGCCAATACGGATACAACACTGAATATTAGGGACACTGAAGTCCATTGAGCTTTCTCTTGATGGAATTGAAGTTGTAAGTAGTTCAGGGCTGATACTGACTCTGTGGTCCTAGACTTCAGAAGTATTTTGAGTGGACTTCTATTGAAAGCAGTGCAATTTTAGGTGCCTAAACGTTGTTGCAGGAGCTGAGTTCATCTGACTATGCGTTTACAATGATGTCTGTAGCAATGTAACTTTTGTATGCTAGCACAGTAGGGCTGGAACTAACCCTTCTTAACACACAATTCCTGCCTCCCAAGAAGGGAAAATGGAATTGGGCTGTCCCCTGTAACCTTATAGCTAGCCTCATGCTTAGGGTTGCCAGGTATACAGTTTTGAATTGGACAGTCCAGTCAGGGCCGGACTAAGCAGTGGGCGAGCTGGGTAGCTGCCCAGGGCACCAACCGATGGGGGGGTGCCTGATGGCAGCTGTAAGGGGTATGTGGCAACCCTCATAGCTGCCATCAGGTGCTGTGTGCCTGGCTCCTGCAGTGCCAGCCCTGCATCCTTGTGGCGCTGGCCAACAGAGCACTTCTCCCCCATGGCCGTGGGGCCCTGCACGCCCAGGCCCGGGCTGCGCGCCAGCAGCAGTGGCCGGTCTGGGCAGTGCATGTGCTGTTTGCCCTGGGGGTGGCGCCGCGTGCCCAGGCCCAGGGTGCCAGAATGGTTCCAGCCGGCCCTGAGACCAGTATTTGAGCTTTCTGTTTGGGAAACAAATTGAGAAAATAGAAATGTCCGGTATTTTCTAAATAAGATGTAATGCAGATAGTGATGTAATGGCAAGTGTGTCCGGTATTTTTGTTGAAACCATCTGGCACCCCTACATGCTATTCGGTGTTCTTTGAAAGCGTCAGTTCCTGGAAACTGGTGATGTCCGAAAACCTCCAAAGTGTGTGTGTGCCACGAAACGGACTGCTGAATAACACAGCTAGACACCCGGGCCCGTTTCGAAGGGCTGGGGCCAGCCATGCTCCGCAAAGGAAAGCTGGGGAGGCAGCCTAGCCCTTTCCCGGTGCTTCCGTCCCCTGCAGCTGGGCGGCGGCAAAATCTCCCCGGAGCCTGGCAAGGGCAAGGAGCCTGGGCTGCGGCGGAGGGCCGAGCACATGTCTCCGCCGCCCCCCCCGCTAGGAGCGCGGGGAAAAGGCGGCGGCGCTCACACGCAGCTGCAGGTCCGCGAGGCTGTGCAGCGCCGGGCTCCTCCCCTCGGAGCCGGCGGGGGGGCGGCGCCTTCTCCACCAGCGAGTCCGACTGCAGCCTGGCTCTCGCAGGTGCAGCCAGAGCAGGCTGAGCTGCGCTCCCCAGGTAAAGGTGCAGCCTGGCGGGCGCGGGGCCGGGGCCGGGTGCGTGGCTCGGGGCTAAGCAGTGCCCGCAGCCCGGCAGAGGCAGAACTGACCGTCACTAGCAGCGCGGAGTGTGTGTGTAGTTGGGATGCGTGTCAGAAAATCGCACCCCTGGAGGCGGGCCAGCTCTGCTGAGGAGCCCGGCACCTCCCTGCCGAGGGCGGTTTCTGCCGGGGCTGCTCGTCTGCCAGGTGGCGGTGCCCTAGATAGCGCATGGCAGCCTTACGGGTCCTAGAGTATTAGAGGCACAGGCGGCGGCGGCGGCGTGGGGGAAGTGGTGAGAACTTGTACGGGGCGAACTTCTGTTTCTGAGAGAGCCGAGCTCTGGCGCGACGGGTCCCAGCCTCCAAGCTCCAGACAGGTTGTGTATGTGCAAACAGAGCTTCTGTTAAACCAGGGGCGGTCAGTTATTTATGTGCAGATCCACTGGTCAAGTCCAGGCTCCAGAGAAAATAATTAAAAATAAGTAAATAAAAATATTCAAAAGTAGCTGGTGGTCTGGATTTGGTCTGTGGGTGGTCACCCTGTTGTCTATCACGGTACTCCGTTAAAAGATGATGCATTAACAATGCTGTACGCTCAGGACAAAAAAGAGGGCTAGTGGGTTTCTAGGTTTCTGATTATTACTGCCATAAATCCAGTGTCTTTATTAAGACCATAATTTCTAGTATCTAGCAAACTTATTACTTTACGCTCCCAGGGTGGTCTAAGGAAAGTGTGCTGGTCTGATTGGTGCTGTCCTCAGTGAGGTGAACCAAGTGCTGGCTCAAAGCCAACAAGTAGAGTCTCAAAATGATCCCATCTGTACTGACCCAGGATAGGAAGGGAATAGGAGTTAGGTTCCAGCTAATTTTCCAGAAAGTTTGAGATAAGCACCAGCACTCATGCTTGTTTTGATAGTATCTCAATTAACAACAGTGTAGCAGAATGCCAAAGAAAAGAAGGGCTTTCATTGAGTCACTTACATTACAGCTGAATTCGAGATGATTATATTGGCACTTCTTGAACTTGAGCAGAGCATGGTTTCAGCTGAACAGCAGCAGCAACAAAAGCAAACCGGAAAGATGAAAGAAAATAGGAACTTATTTTATTGATTTATTGCTGATGATGTACTGAGCACTTACAATGACAAAAGTGAAGACACTCCATTCCCCAATTAATTTGCATTCTAATATGCAGAGATGTGAAAGATAAGATGTCCTAGTAAATCTAGAGTGGAGAGGAGGGATAACTGAGAGCCTTCTGTATTTTTTCATAAATATTATAAGTTCTCTTCTGGTATGCTTTGCATAAATAAGAGAAATTTCCATAAAGACTGGTACAGAGGACTGCGTGGAATAGGATCATAGATGAAAATGCATGTAGGAACAGAGCATCAAATCT